ACCATTACTACATTTCCTCTCCTACACTAGTACTACATGTTCACTATAACACCATTACTACATTTCCTCTACTACACTAGTACTACATGTTCACTATAACACCATTACTACATTTCCTCTACTACACTAGTACTACATGTTCACTATAACATCATTACCACATTTCCTCTCCTACATTAGTGCTACATGTTCACAATGATATCATTACTACACATACATTTGCACTCTCTGGTGTGCTGCGCAGTATAAACAGAGCAAAATTCCAACTGACTTATAATTTTCAACCCCGAATTTTGACTTGAGGTCCCTAGAGCTGCAGAAGAGCTTGGCAAAATAAATTGTTAAGATGGATTGTGTTTATGTTCTCGACTGGGAAGAGGTGCAGTACCTCGTTGATTACAGCTATACCTGTCTAGGATCAGGGTCACACGGCGCTGCCTACTTAGTTGATTGGTATGGGGAGAAAAACGTCCTGAAGGTGGCCCATAAGACTCTTTCACTAAAGAGCTTCTGGAAAGAGGCAGAAAAACTGGTCCATCTCAACGGGGCCGGCGGGGCACCAAGGGTGACAGGTTTCTGTCAGGATCCACCAGCTATTTTACAAGAGTTCAAAGGGCGTTACACACTGTAGGACATTATTGAAGAATTTGTGGAGGAAAAATTCACCCAGTATGACATACTAGACTTGGCACTACGGATTGGGGAGCAACTGTACGAATTTCACCAAACAGGAGTGATCCACAATGACTTAAAGTTTGACAACATTCTCATCAACGGTCCACCAACCAACCCACAAGTCAGTATTATTGACGTGGGTTTGGCCTGTTACTGCCACGAGAACATTAAGTTCGTCGGCGACACAGGGAAGTACCCCTGGATGGCCCCCGAGGTCCGTGAGGGCTATAGCAGCACGAAGGCCTCGGACACATACTCCTTTGGAGTTTTGTTGTCTAACCTGGCCAACATGGTACTCGGGGTCCACCCAGAGGTGTGTCATCTCGCCAGCCAGGCCATGAAGCCCCACCCTCGTCAACGCATACATTTGCGTGGCCTTCTTCATCGTCTCCGAAGAATCCTTTTCCAAAGGAACATGGACTCAGAATGAAAGCCTCTCCTGTGATTTTCTGAGCCCAAGTTTATACTTTACCCAAACCATGACTGTATGTATATTATGTATGCTGGATTATATATTATGTATGTGCTCCATTTATGTATTATTTATTCAGCCTAGCTAGCAGCGTGTGGCAATGTTATTACCATATCCCACATGCTTAATTAATGTGCCTGGCGACGTATGGAAGCTGCTAATGTATCACTTGCCATACGTCGTCTATAGCAGTTGACCAGGAGCCTAGCTGAGGAGAGCACTACTCCCCTTTGTGTACATACTCTTATCCAGTAAACCGAACCTACAAAACTATACAGGTGTTTGTGTTCTCTCCTGTATATAGAACTTATTATAAAGAACCTAACAATGACAATCCTCCCAATGCCTGATCTCACTACGTGGGGTCAACTGAACAAAAGAACATAAGAAAATAAGGAGTCTGCAATAGGCCGGTTGGCCTGTGCATTGCAGCTCCTGTCGAGAGTTACTACCACTCTCTATCATCCATGAATCTATCTAGCCTCCTTTTGAAACTTTCCAGAGTTCCCGCACTTACTACAAAGTTGCTAAGGTTGTTCCACTCGTCCACCACCCTATTTGTGACCCAGTTCCTTCCTATCTCCCTCCTAAACCTAAACTTATCCAACTTGAATCCGTTGCTCCGAGTCCTATCCTGCTCGGATATTATAAGAACTTTATCTATATCTCCTTTATTGATTCCTTTCACCCAGTTAAATACTTCTATCATATCTCCCTGCACTCTTCGTCTTTCTAGGGAATGCAAGTTAAGTTTCTTTAACCTATCCTGATATGGAAGGTTTCTAAGTCCCGGAATCATTTTTGTCATTCTTCGCTGCACCGACTCTAGGGAATTTATATCCATTCTATAATAGGGGCACCAGAACTGAACCGCATAATCGAGGTGTGGCCTGACTAGCGCAAGATATAGTTGCAATAAGACCTCTGCACTCTTGTTACTTACACTTCTAGATATAAAACCCAATACTCTGTTTGCCTTATTTCGAACATTAACGCACTGTTTTCTAGGCCGTAGGTCCGGGCTTACAAGTACCCCTAGGTCTCTTTCACAAGGAGCGTCTTCCCCATCTACTACTAAAGATAATGTAAATATAACTAAATATGATATATATATATATATATATATATATATATATATATATATATATATATATATATATATATATGCAAATAAATCACTGTAGGTGCGCGTGATCCAGGTATATGCTGATAACCACAAGGAAAAAAAACACGAAGTTCTCAGGCGCTTTCGTGTAATTCACATCTTCAGGGGTGAGTACAGACTAGTCTGTACTCACCCTGGTAATTATATATATATATATATATATATATATATATATATATATATATATATATATATATATATATATATATATATATATATATATATATATATATCATGTAAATCCTAATGAAAACGTGTAATCTAGTTGCCTCTGAATGTCTTGAATAAAGACGAAAGCTAAGTGTCCGTTGTTTCCATTTTCCGTGTGATTTTATCAAGATATATATATATATATATATATATATATATATATATATATATATATATATATATATATATATATATATATACATATATACATACAGTATATAAATATTTATATATTTATATATTTCATGTAGATCCACAATGAAAACGTGGATAAGATAAATCTTGATAAAATCATACGGGAAATGGGAAACAACGGAGCACCTTAGTTTTCGTCTTTATTCAAGACATCTTCAGAGGCAACTGGATTACATGGACAGAGAGAGGCTTAAATATACAGGTTGACCATATTAAACATGAGGTCAGGTCATAATGATGTCATCCACTAATCCCCACACCAACACACACGTAGAGGAGCTTAAGAGAAGGGGAGCGACGTGACTACTCAGGTCAGGTCAAAAATAAGGGACCCACTAAGATACTAAATAACTATCCTGCATCTAGATCAAAGGTTTTCAAAGCATTTTTAACCTTGGGCCACTGACAAATACATTTATGTAACTTAATATCAGTTTTGAACTGACCGTCACTAAGGTTTATTGATTTTAATTCCTTAATCAAACTAGCTTCAACCAGAAGTCTTTCTGTGACACAAGATGATTTGAATACTTCTAAGCTTTTTTCCCAAGTAATAGGATGATTATTATTCCTAACATGAACGAACAGGGCACTGCTTTCAGATGCTGTTCTGATATTGTACTTATGTTGTTTGATTCTGAGCTGCAGTGTTTTTCCTGTCTGACCTACATAATTACCATTACATTTGCTACATGGAATACAATAAACACTTCCATTTACATTCAAACTTGGGCTATTTTTTATTAACATATTGGTAATGGTTGAGTCATACTTGAAAACAACATTAATATTTAGTAGTTTGAGGGACCGAACTAACGGGACAAATTCATTACGATTGGGCAGTCAAAATATTCTTAAGTGTAGGAATTTGCCTGGTTTGAGAGGACTGAAAGGATTTTTTTTAGCCCTTTTAAAACAACGATCAACAAACACAGAAGGGTACCCAAGTTTTTGTGCAATATATGTATATATATATATATATATATATATATATATATATATATATATATATAATATATATATATATATATATATATTTTTCATAGCGCACTGTGCTACGTGCGACTTCCAGTGCCTCATTCTTTACATCCACTGGCAGTCAATCTTGACTAAAACTTGGAGTGCCGCTGCCATGCGAGGCGAGTCTGTGTAATTCAGTTTGATGGCCGATTGGCTTGTGTATATAGGACTGCCGTCCGTATATAATGGCGTAAATAAAGACCTGACATTAAAAAAAATGAAAAATAAAATGTATCATCATAACGGTGAAGGGACATCACGCCCGCCAATTTCTTTGTTTTATCCTCCACATGATAGGAATGACAAGGTCAACACCAAGAACTCGAGGTCAAAGGCTTCTAAAATAAAGAATATATCTCAACAAAATTCACAAATTAGTCAATACTTGAAAAAACTTTGAGTGATTCAAAAGGAAATTGGATGATAAAAAAATAATGCCATAAATTCTTACAAAACTAGTTGATTAGACTGCATTAAGACACCAGCATATTGTAAACATTTCAATGTTAGGCCGATAACCAGGTCCTAACACAATGTTAGGCAATATAAACTTAGAAAATCCTAATTAAAACAAGCAAATTAGCCACATAAAAAGCACGATTTAAACCAAGACATCCTGTGTAAGGGTAATTAGTATCGGTAAATATTTTTGTAGGTATGTGTACAGTATGTATGTGTGTAGTGTCTTATGTTTGTTTGTAGGAGTGTGTATGTATGTGTGTAGTGTCTTATGTTTGTTTGTAGGTGTGTGTATGTATGTGTGTAGTGTCTTATGTTTGTTTGTAGGAGTGTGTATGTATGTGTGTAGTGTCTTATGTTTGTTTGTAGGAGTGTGTATGTATGTGTGTAGTGTCTTATGTTTGTTTGTAGGAGTGTGTATGTATGTGTGTAGTGTCTTATGTTTGTTTGTAGGAGTGTGTATGTATGTGTGTAGTGTCTTATGTTTGTTTGTAGGAGTGTGTATGTATGTGTGTAGTGTCTTATGTTTGTTTGTAGGTGTGTGTATGTATGTGTGTAGTGTCTTATGTTTGTTTGTAGGAGTGTGTATGTATGTGTGTAGTGTCTTATGTTTGTTTGTAGGTGTGTGTATGTATGTGTGTACTGCTTTTGTTTGTGAGTGTTTGTAAGTTAGTATGTAGGGTCTAATTTTGATTGTGTGTGTGTGTGTATGTGAGTGGGTAGTGTTTGTGTTGGTGTGTGGGTGTGTATCAACATTATATGTATGTATGTATGTGTCTAATGTTTGTTTGTTTTGGCCCCCAGAACTCGACCCGCAGCAAGACAACTACTCATTATCTTACGGTGAGATGAACCTTCACTACTTCTACTATCCTCATTGTCATTGTAATCATTATCATTGTTATCATCATTACCATCATTGTCATTATTATCATTATCATCACCATCATCCTGACACTATTATCCATACCATTTACTTTCATCACCATTGTCATTGTAATAATCATCATCTTCACTATCATTCTCATTATGAACAGCATTATCAAAAATATCACCACCACATTTGTCATTTTGTCATCATCATCATCATCATTATCATCGTCATTATCATTATCATCATTATCATTATCACATTCACCTTCACCATCACTGTATGTTACATAATAATTGTTGTAGCACTGTAACTCCTTCCACTGTAGTTCTGTATTTAAAGCCGCTGTATTTTAACCAGATAATACAAACTAAATTCAGAGCAATGTGTTGTACAGTTGTTGAATGTTATCGTTTAATGTTTGGTAAATATTTTGTCACATCACTTCAACATTTTTCGGTTTGTTTACACTGTGGTTTAATAATGTTACAGCAGTGTCGTTAATATCTGTACATTATTATTATTATTGTTATTATTATTATTTTATTATTATTATTGTTATTATTTTTATTATTGTTATTTATTATTATTATTTGTTTATTGTTATTATTATTATTTTTTTCAATTATATTCACAATATTTACTTCCATCCTACATGACACGTCAACAATGGCTGTCACTTTACTGTCGTTACCTACAGGAGATGCATGTCGTAGTGTGCGTGTTAGTCTCTCTTGTCTTGTATAATGATTTTTCAGATATTGTCACTGATAAATAAATGTAATAGTAGTAGCAATAGTAGTAGTTGTAGTAGTAGTAGTAGTTGTTGTTGTTGTTGTTGTTGTTGTTGTTGTTGTTGTTGTTTACATTTTGTACTGTTGGTTATATTGTTTTTATTATTCTCATGCATGATATATTGCACGGTCCTTGTCATCGTCACTGGCCTTGGTTACACGCACGAGCTGTAGGAATACTTTGTCTGTTGTCGTAAATTTCAGGTTTGATTGAGAAAATGACTTCTAATGGATACTGGACGGCAGAGGTACGTGGTGTTATGGTTCTAGTGTCAGCTGGTGTATGTAACGTCAGCTGATGTTTTTAGTGTCAGCTGGTGTATGCAACGTTAGCTGATGTTTGTTACGTCAGCTGATGTTTTTAGTGTCAGCTGGTGTATGTAACGTTAGCTGATGTTTGTAGTGTCAGCTGATGTTTGTAGTGTCAGCTGATGTTTGTAGTGTCAGCTGATGTTTGTAGTGTCAGCTGATGTTTGTAACGTCAGCTGATGATTCTGACAAACATCAACTGATCGCTGTAACGTTTCATATTCACTTGAACATTCACTCCACTATAACACATACACCTCACTATAACACATACACCTCACTATAACACACATACACCTCACTATAACACACATACACCTCACTATAACACACATACACCTCACTATAACACACATACACCTCACTATACCATACATACACCTCACTATAACACACATACACACTATAACACACATACACCTCACTCTAACGCACATACACTTCATTATATTTTCACATTATTTATTTCTTATACAAACACGTGATAATTTATTCAGGTGTCATAAGGCGAGGGAGGGAGTCATAATCCAGGTGTACGTGTTAATTAACCCATTTTGTATGTATTAGCCAATTTTTCATCATAATTGGCAGTTTGTCTCGATTGGCCTATTTTGTACACTGACTAGCCAATCAGTGTTAGATATAATGGGTTACTCTGTCTCTGTCTGTCTCACTCTCTTGCTCAGTATTCCTCTCTCTCTCTCTCTCTCTCTCTCTCTCTCTCTCTCTCTAAATAAATAAATAAATAAATAAATATTCACATTTAATCAATACTTGTTATCCAATCCATTTAAACTATTGTAACCGGGAATTGACAATTAGCGTGATCACAGGTGTGTAATTGGCCCAACACCTTAATGGGCAGGAGGGAGTGTAATTCACCTCCCGGTCTATCATCATCAGGTGTATATCTATCTATAACAATTATACGGAAGTTATATTAGATTCACACGTCAGAAATCCCTTTTAAATTATAGCACTATGTAATTTCTTTGTTCTCTTCGTGTGTGTGTGTGTGTCTCTCTCTCTCTCTCTCTCTCTCTCTCTCTCAAATCTTGGTACTTCAGATGTGTACGAGTAGTTACACAGACCCTAAGAAGATGTAATCGGATACTATAATTGGCTACCATAATCGGACACCATAATCGGCCACCATAATCGGCAACCATAATCGACTACCATAATCGACCACCATAATCGACCACCATAATCGACCACCATAATCGGCCACCATAATCGACCACCATAATCGGATACCATATTAACACTGGTATCCACAAAACACAAGGATGTAAAAAAACAAACAAAAACAACCAGCAGTAAGGTCATTATCTGTTATCAGTGACTCAAAAGACCATGGATATGTTATCAATCACCTTACCTGTACCTTCAACTGATAACAGGTAGTAGGAAAGTGTCTCTTGGTGTGTTAGTATTTATAGCACCTTGTATTGATTTGTCTTTAGATATAAATATGAATGGAAAGGTAAAAAGGTAATGACACATACATATACATACATATATACTTACATATTCATACATATATACTTACATATTCATACATATATACTTACATACATGCATACATACATACATACATACATACATACATACATACATACATAAATCTATGGTGACATTCCCATAAGAAAATAGTAGACGAAAAGCTGGAAGGAGGGAGATATCGTCAAGAATAAGAAGATAAAGAACGAGAGAAAGGAGAATAAGAAAAACAAGAACGAGAAGAAGAAGACGACAAAGAAAAAAAGAAGAACGAGACAAACAAAAAGGAAGAAAATGAAGAACAAGAAGAAAAAAAGAACAAGAACGAGATGAAAAAAAACAAGAAGTAAAAGAAGAAGATAAAGAAGAACGAGAAAAACAAAAGAAAGAGATTGAACAAGAAGAAGAAACGGAAGAAGAAGAAGAACCCACACAACAGGCTTAATGGGGAGAGATGGAATACCACAGCAGCCGCCACGTATCTCATAACTCCGCCCCGACATACACACACACCCTGCAAGGTCAGTGAGAGGAGGAAGGCAGAAGGAGGAGGAAGACAGGAGGAGGAAGACAGAAGAGGAAGATTAAGGGAGCTTGTTGGCCATTAGGAGGAGCAAGACGGGGGAGACGTCACCTAACCTGAAGGGCATTTGTGAGTAATTTACCTGAAGGGCATTTTTGAGTAATTGTGAAATTGTGAGTCATTAAGATATGAATAGAGTGCACAATGTTAGTACTTACTCAGGTGTAGGGGAGACCAGGTGATATATGGCCAGGTAAATACTGTTAATTAACTGCCATCGCCTGTGTTGACATGCTGGTGTGTACAGGTTAAGTTGTGTGTGTGTGTGTGTATGAAAGGGTGAATATGGTAGATTATGTATGTATGTATGTATGTATGTATGTTGTATGTATATGTGTGTATGTATGCATACCTGTATATATATATATATATATATATATATATATATATATATATATATATATATATATATATATATATATATATATATATGTGTGTGTGTGTGTGTGTGTGTGTGTGTGTTTGTATGGTACAATTAGCCGATTATACAGACGCCATTACCTCTACTCCAACCTCATCGGTAAAATCGGCTTCCGATAATAGTGGGGCAGCGGTAGCGTCACCCAGCCAGCCGATATTACCTATAGTTGTGTGGAGGGAGGGAGAGAGAGATTTAAATATATATATATATGCTAAGAGATAGATAGATAGACAGACAGACAGACAGACAGACAGACAGACAGACAGACAGACATATAGACATATAGATAGATAGAGAGACAGACATTGTCAGCCAGATGGATAGATAAATAAAGCAACCCCCCCCTCTCCTCCCTTGCTCTGAGCTATTAAGGAACAACAAAGGTAATTTCTGAGAGTAATCACCCGGTTATTGTTGGTGATTGGTGCTGTGATGACCCGTAACAAGGCGCAACAATTACTGCTGGTGACCTGACCGTTGGTGATTGACGAATTTGCGTAATGGAAATTGGATAATGGTGGTGGTGGTGATGATGGTGTAGCAGTGTTGTGATGGTAGTAGTGATGATGGTGTAGTAGTGTAGTGATGATAATGATGGTGGTGGTGGTTTGATTGTGGTGATGGTGTTGGTAGGGGTTTGATTGTGGTGATGATGATGAAGGTTAGGTAGTGGTGGTGATGGTCGTTAGGTGGTGGTGGTGGTGGTAGTGATGGTGAAGGTTAGGTGGTGGTAGTGATGGTGATGGTGGTAATGGTGAAGATAATATAGACTAGATAATGATGATAGTGTAGATGATAATAATAATAATAATAATCTACCCAAATTCTCATAATATTTACATAGACACAGATAAAGGCTTTGTAATTATAATACATTAAGTAGCTATTAAGATTTACTGAGGCTTATAGCACATAGTGAACCGCGTCTTATATAGTGAACCGCCTCTAATATAGTGAACCGCGTCTAATAATGAACCGCGTCTATAGTATCCCACATAGTCCGTGTAGCGTTTAAGGTCCATTTTCATGTCGGTTTGGTGTGATTATGAGTCTTATTGATTTTATTTCTTCTTTTATTATATTTTAATTATTTTTATTGTGGTTGTTATTGCTTTTATGTAGGTGTTGTTGTTGTTGTTGGGTTAGGAGTGAGTGACTGAGTGTGTGAGTGAGTGAGTGTGTGAGTGTGTGAGTGAGTGAGTGAGTGAGTGAGTGAGTGAGAAGGATTAATTGCGAGTTTGTGTGATATATTTAACGTCAACAGTTTAGCTCCACAGGTGTTATGATAAATACCCTACTAGGTCTTCTCCTCCATGTTATTACCTCCTGTTACCTCCTGTTACCTCCTGTTACCTCCCTACC